CCATGCTCGCTCCCCCACTCTTCCCATGCTCGCTCCCCCCCTCTTCCCACGCTGGCTCCCTCCCTCCCTACCCCTGCCTTCCCAGACAAAAGTTTCGTGTTTTTTGTTAGGTTAAGTGTTTATATCTTATATATCTCAGACTAAATTTAGGAGAATATAATTTGCATTGCTGGAATCGTTGCAAGACAGCGAATAATTTGAATATAAACATCATATATTTTGCACAAGAGATAAAATTAATCACCTGTATCACATAACAGTAGTGATTTAAGAGTTCTAGTGTATATGTACGATATATATAGTGATTTAAGGGTGATTTAGGGCAATTTTAGGAGTGTTTCTGACTTTATGCACTTTTTGCTTTACTTTGTACAGTATATACTTTCATGTGAGCTGGAACCAATTACCCAATATCCCATTGAAACAATGGTTTCGGTTAACGAAATTTTCGGTTTGCGAACGACCCTCTGAAACGAATTGAGTTCGTTAACCGAGGGACCACTGTACTGCCATAACTGGGAGTATTCCTGTACAGTAATACAGAAAATCACTCGATTCTCTTGCTGTAGATTCATCAGTTACAATTTTTTTTTTAATATTCGCTTTGAATTATTAGAGAAGATTAGTTCCTTTTTTTGATGAGGTTAGGTTCAGTGTATCATTCCAGTTCTTCATAGCTGTAAAGAAAAAAGTGCTTTTTGCATGATTACATACACCAGGTACTGTACTCTACAGTAGTACAGTAGAACGTCGATTTAAAGCGATTCAATTTAAGATTATTGATTTAAAGTGACACCCACAATTAAGGACAATGTTTTAATTTAAAGCGAATCTTTCCTATTTTGCGCGAGTCAATCTGGCGCATCATCTTTTAAAATTCGCGCCTAATGTTTCTCTGGGCACGCTACACTGTCCTAAGGGCAAAGATGTACTGTACATGTACTCAAAATATGTACTAAATGGTTACTAAAATTTTTGTCTAGTGCAAACTATAACATGATTATATTCAAATTAATCACTATCTTATAAGAATTCCAGCGATGTAAATTATGTTCTCCCCGGTCACTTCTGTGACATTTTATGAACAAAAAAACAAAACTAAATTTAAAAGACATAAATAAACAAATAAATACTTCACTAGACCTTCGGTGCCAACTGTAAAACATGTCACTGTCACCTCCCCCCCTCCCCCCCCATCTTCCCAGCCAGGGTTGGGTGGTTATATGCTTACAGTTTTTATCTTATATAATAACACAGTCTATAATTAGGAGAATATAATTTGTATTGCTAGAATCCTTGCAAGACAGCGAATAATTTGAATATAAATGTCATATATTTTGCACAAGAGATAAAAATTTTAGCTCTTTAATAAAATTAGTTAGAACTAAAATTTGTATGTTTAATGCAAACTATAGCATGTTTATATCCAAACTAATCACTATCTTATAAGAATTCCAGCAATGTTAATTATATTTTCCCAGGTCAGTTTAGTGACATTTTATAAGAGAAAAACTTAGTCACTCTTAAGGACAGATAAATAAATAAGCACTAGTCCTTGGCATCAACTGTCAAACATATCACCTCACCTCCCTCTCCCTCCCCACCTATCTTCCCAGCCAATAAACAGACCGTTTTGCATCCCTTAATTTTAACTGTGCTGATTTATGAGCGTTTGTTTTAATATAATACTAAAAAAACGATGTTTTGTTTATTCTTGGAGATGGGCTGAGGTGCATCTTGGTAGACTGTCAGTCTTTTTAGTACAGTATTTTGTGTTTCTCTCAAGTACCAAACTAAATTATTCCATTGAAACAACACTTTGATTTAGTGCTAATTCGGTTTAAAGCGACCCCTCTTGGAACGTATCTCACTTTATATCGACTTTCTACTGTACATAATTATGTTTACTGCCCCTTGTACTACCTTGCAAGCTTATACAGTATCTCTAATCCTTAGAGTTTGTCGCAAGATAATCTCATCATCATACGTGTTTTACAGCCATTTTCCATGTTTGCATGGGTTAGCCTTGATTACAGTATATGGTGGAGTATAAATCGACCCCCCTTTTCAAGCAAAAAAAATTGGTCATAGAGATATACTTACTGTATAAGTCGACTCCCCAACTCCAGCAACTGTCATGTGTTGTGAAGGACCAAGTCAACCATCAAAACATACATAAACAGGTAAACAGTCACACACGTCATTAGTGACTGACCCAACAATCACAACAACACTGAACTCAGTTGACTTCCTGCTCATTCCACCAGTCCACACACAGCCATCAATAACAAAAGGTGGTTAAATAAAACTACTGAGAAAAACTTGATTTCATCCATAATAAAAATAGAGCAATTATATTAAAGGTAAATATGAAGGATGTAATACAAAATACTCTCACTTACGGTCATGATTTTAGAGGTCATCATTTTGTACCCATCGTTTAAGTCGACCCCCTAACTTTGGACACAATTTTTTTTTCAAAGGTCGACTTATACGCCGCCATATACTGTACTTGATGGCAGCTGTCCATGCTGTGCAGTTTCTTGTAGCACTATCTCTGAGGTAATTTCTTACAGTATCCTTACAGTCTACCAATTACATCATTGCATCTATTGTGTACCCACCTTCCACACTCACTGCACACTGTTGAGCGACTGCCAGGAGCTTTCTAACAGACAGCACATGGTCATTTTCCACCATGGGTGCTTCACCCAAGCTACTAATCATTACTCTTCTTTTGTTTGTGTCACATTTACTCACATAGTCTTTGACTCCATTCCATTTCCAAATGTTTCAGCAAATAACAACTTCCATAGCAGATCAGTCCTAAAATCTGTTATAGTGCTTTTAGCATTATGTTAAATAAAAGAAGGCTTGAAACAGACTTTTGGTGAATCCTTACCTTTACCTCTTAATTCATTACTTTTTTTGTCATTCACACTCTCGGCATTTCTTGAGCCCTCATACAATGCCATAACCACTTGGACTAGATACTCCCAACCCCTAACTTTCTCTTTGTCCATTGCACTACTTAGTGGCATCCTGTCAAATGCCTTCTCTAAGTACACAAATACAAAGTACATGCAGCTTTCTCACCTTCCCAAGATATTTCTCTGGTCTAACAGCATCACCTTATCTCTTGTGAGTACTGTATTCACAATCTCACTTTTTAGCCAGTCACCTGGAACAATATATTCCATCATAATTGCATTAATCAATTTGGTTACCATTGTCATGCCAACGTCGTCTTTATGTTTTCACCATTTCTGCAACTTTTTCAGTTTCTGGTACCAGCAAGTTTTCCATTCTTAATTTTGTCACTTGCTTTCTTCACCCATTTTCTTTCAAACTTTGAACACAGTCCATGCACAGGTACTGGCTGGCTCTCTTGCTTCTAGGCTCCTCATTCAGCAGATGATCATAGTGTTTTCTCCAAGAATCCTTGATTTCCTCATTATCAATAACCACATTACCAGTGTCATTTCACATGCGCTGGTCACCAATAAATATTTTGTTTTCACATCATTTTTCAACTGGCTATGTCTTAAAGGGTTAAGTTGTAGATTTTTTATTTGTTTTGTTTTTTTACCCACTGTGTAGGGGTTCCCCGACTTACGAACGCCCTCCGACATGAACAGGGTTAAACTTAAAATTTACAGTATTTTATGGTATTTATGTGATGACTTATTTTTTACTTTCATTTACTGTATTTTGTCATTCTATTTCTTCTTTTCTCATCAATTAAGTCATTTATGATATATATGAGGACTTAGGCTATGATATACTGCAGTGGGATTTTAAACATTGTTCTGTAAGTACAGTATGCATATAGCATGTTCCCCTGTATATGGACTATGATACAGGTTGTACCTCTCTAGTCCGACATTCTGTGGTCCGGAAACTCCCGTGGTCCGGAACGATTTAAGTTTGTGCAATAGGTAGATAGGCAGCTTTTTTTTTTTTTTTCTTATCTGAATTATTATTATTATTATTACAGGAGTATTAAATTTTTGCCCCTCAGGCCCCAATGTGGTCAGTGACCTATGCCCGGGTGGGCTAATCCCCGTAAAAAAAAAAAAACAAAGCCGCGGGAAATTAAGGTTTGTTTACATCCGGCAGTTCGGCTGCTCTCTCTCTCTCTGCTTGTCTATACAGAGTACAACATTTAACCCTTCAATATATATGAGCAGTAAATAAGTGTTGCCTTCATATTCTTATGTAGAGTAATGACAATATGTTTTCACATGTGCGCACTTACATACGCGCAGTCTCACTTTTTTTACCATTAATGGTTAGCGACTTATATTGTTCCATTTATAAACATTAAATAACATTACAGGTACTTCAAACAACCATATTAATTTGTTTTACATTAATTTTACTACAGCTACAATCAGGGTCTTATTTTCTTCAGTTTTATATGTAGAACCAATCAGTCACTGGTTTTGTAAGCTTTGACATAAACAATGCCGGCAGCCGTCTCGTCTCCTAATTATTAATAAATTGTATTGTTAATTTTGCCCACACAAACATTAATTCAATAAAAACAAATTCAGAAACATTAATTAAAATTATATGAACAGTAAATAAGTGTTGCTTTCATATTCTTATGTAAAGTAATGATGATATGTTTTCATGTGTACGCATGCGCACTTTCATACGCCATCTCTCTTTTCTTTACCATTATCGTTAGCTACTTCTATTGTTCCATTTATTAACATTAAATAACATTACTTAAAACAACCATATTAATTTTACTGCACCTACAACCAAGGTCATATTTTCTTCAGTTTTATATGTAGAACCAGTCAGTCACTGGTTTTGTAATCAACGAAAACAATGCTGTGTCATTTCCTCGTGTGTTTTAATATTCTGCGTATTATTAATGAATTGTATTGCACATTTTGCACACATAAACATTTATTCAATAAAAAAGACATTTGGTAATAAACAATAATGAATCTTTTGTACATAAGAGAAATGACGCTGTTTACACGATTATGCACGTTGCCTGCATGTTGGTGGGCCGTTCAAACCCGTCGAAATTCAAGTTTCCACCGTCAAAATTTTTATTTATTTATTTTTTGTGTTCCAATAAAATACAGTACGTTGAATTAAAAACTCGTGAAATTTGAGAAGCTACTATACGACATTTAACCCTTCAAAATGTCTTCAAAGAGACCATGATGCAGAGAAAGTGGTGCTAGTGCTTCCAAGCATAAGCACAAGTCACTATCTATCCAGGAAAAGGGTGAATTTCCATGGTCCGGCAATTTCCATGGTCCGGCACCGGTCAGGTCCCGAGGTTGCCTGACTAGAGAGGTACAACCTGTACTTGTATATTATGTTTGAAGATTAAATGAAAATGAATTCATTATGTATATGTTAGCATGTGGGTTTTTGGAAACACAAATCAAGTTTTCATTACAATCTTTCTTTTTTCTTTTTTCAGTTTACAAGGGATAATGGTCAAAAGAAAATATCTTCATTTTTCTCTGCTGTTGCAGCACCAGAAAGAGAGGGTAACACTGTAAGGGACAAAGACAGTTGCCATGAGAAAGTGGGAAACAAGTCTGAATATTTCATGACCAAAGGTGTTTCATTGTGTAACACAGAACATTCAAGTGATAATGATGACAAATTCAAGAAAGAAAAGAAGAACAGAAGTCATGTGACACCTAAAAAATCAAATTCAGGGTTAGGTAAGATGAAGACTGTGTCATCTCCAGAAGATAGTTCAATGTTTCCTGAGTCTTCAGTTGATTCTGACCTTGAAATTATTGAATGTACTCCAGGAGCAGAGAAATGTAATAAACCATGTTCGTTTTCATTTAAGAATAACATTCACAGTCCAGAGGTTGTTCCTTCAACCCCTCTGCCATACAAAACACAGACAATGTCTGTCACACTTTTAGGATTGGATTCTAACTTAAAAAATCAAAATAAATTGGCTTCCACATCCATAAATATTAAAAAATCTAGCAAAGTTTTAAATTCTCCTATCAAACCTGGGTCTATGCAAGTGAAAAACAAAATTGTATTATGTAAATTATCAAGAAGAAATAAAGAAAAATCTAATACCCACAATTGTACAAATCAGAATGAAAACCATGAGAATCTTGAGTGTAAAGATGACTTAATTAACAAGGAACCAACTTCTGTGAAAAGAGCAGCAGTATCAGGAGTAGGTATCTCGCCTGATCCAAAGCGAACAGTTGGGCCAGAAGGTGAAGTAATGGATGATGAGGTTATCAGGTGTAAGACAGATCTTACTGGAAAGTTTGATAGCTGCATTCCATCAGTATGTAATGCTGTAAAAAGTGAAAACTTAAGCATACAACAAACTAATGAGATAGATAGAGAAAATGATGAAAGCTTTAGTCTGTTGCAACCTAGCATGAAGTTGCAACAAAACAAGACACTAGTAAGTATGGTAAGAGATAAAGAAACACAGAAAGGACATTTCAAATTTGTAGATAATGTTCTAGTGGAGGAAAAAAATTTGGACTTCCCTGTATTTCCAAATCTTGGGAAAGGTTCTTTGGAAATAAAAGAAAGGATTTCCTGCAAGTCTTCTAAGTATATAGATAATTCAACAGTTTTGTTAGAAAATGAAAATGAGGTGAAAAATTTGATGGAAAGGAATTTAAAAAATGTGTGTGGATCCCTCGAAAGTCACGATAGTCTGTTTGGTGGGAGTTTTGTTTCTTCTCAGGGCTTTGTTCATGTTGATGATTCTGTGGGCCATAAACCTGAAAACAAACAAGTCCAATCCGTACCAGAAACTCAGGAAAACTATTTGTGTGATAGTTCACTTCAGTACATGTTTGATGATGAGCTGGCTCTTGATTTTGATAAAATGTCACCTTTCAAACAGCAGATAAAGGAACCAACAGAAACTGCCATCGAAAATAAGTAAGTAATAATCTTAATGTTGTAGAGATTTCTGTATACGGTATATATATATATATATATATATATATATATATATATATATATATATATATATATATATATATATATATATATATATATATATATATATATATATATATATATATATATATATATATATATATATATATATATATATATATATATATATATATATATATATATATATATATATATATATATATATATATATATATATATATATATATATATATATATATATATATATATATATATATATATATATATATATATATATATATATATATATATATATATATATATATATAATTATTTTTTTTTACGTGCTTTTTTTACTTCACATTAGGTCAAAATTCGGTTTAGTGATAGCTTGATTCACTGGAAAGAGGAAAGAACTGGGGATGAAATGTGACCTTTGAGGTGGCATGTTGCTATTGTTACATGTAATGAAAGTGGAAAAATCATTGCAGTACTCTGTGGGTTACAAATAAAGAAAATATAATATAAAACTATAAAATAAGAAAACTGAAGTGCATGGGGGTGTGTGTGTGTGTGTGTGGAGGCAGTGAGCACTGAGGTGTAACTGTGTCTTGACTCGGCAGTCTCTACCCAACCCGGTTCCTCCTCTAGATGTGGCGTCACAGCATACTGACACACACATACACACACACACATGTCTCGGAGTCAGCTGGTGACTGCCCAGCTGATCTGTGTCATATGATGGCTTGATTTGGCTTCGTTTGAACTTGGACAACTGATCAGTGAATAAACCAGGGCACATGGAGACGCATTATACACTACGGAACAATAATATTTAATAATATTTATTAAGTTCTGATAAATAGTACGCTACATTTTTATTTGCTAGTGCCTAAGACAGCCTGTGGTAAGCAAGTAGAGGAAGTAGTGGAAATTACGGGCATGCCTTAAAAAAAATAAAATAAAAAACCTATAAATTTTGCCGTTAAATGGGAGTTGCTGGTAAATCCAGTGCCATTAAATTAAGGGTAGACTCACATTTTTTATACATTTTGTTGTCTTGTTTCTGATTTTTTGTGAGGGGATTTTCCCATTATTATTTATGTGTATGTGTTTTGTGTGTATACACACACATATACAATACAGGTAAAAGAAATTACTGTCTCTAGAACGAATGGCTCCCTGTCCCGGCCGCAAAAATGCCAGCAACTTTAAAACTACCCTTAGACCTTCTTGGGTACATCCAGGGTGTCATCTGCGAATAATCGAGGTCCGCAAATTGTCAGGGCATGTTGTAACAATATACGAGGCGGTTGGGCTGGCGAGTTGGCAATGTAGTTATAACCAAGGCTTTGGCTATAACCGCCTCCACACGTTCATTTCTTATTTTATAAATGTATATTATATTTTTTTATTTCTAATCCACATTAGAGTATTGTTATGTTTTTTAACTTTTATAGTTTCATTACGAGTAACAATAGAACCAGCCCACATGTTCGCTACCCACACATACATACCCATGCTCTTCATTTTTCTTATTTTTTAGTTTTATTTTATATTTTCTTTATTTCTAAGCCACATCGTGTTAAAGAAGTACTGTATGTATTTCTGAGACACAATTTTGTGAGGTCAGCCAGAAGCACTGCATTGTAGGATCCTAAGAGTGAGTTTCAACTAACCGCAAAAACTCGGTACTGTATCTATAAATTCATCCCCTGATATTTGGAAGGGTTAGCTTCCAAAAAATCTTGCCCCAAATTAAAATATACACTGGTTGTTATTTTAAACCAGAAAATAATGATTAAAAAAAAAAATTAATTGCTAAAACTTTCTAAAAAAAAGATTTCATATTAAAACAATTAGATGTTAATGTTGTTCTTAGCAGAGTGGAAGAGGTATTTTAAACCAAAATCAGATGGAAAACAAATAAATTTAATAAAATGTTGAAAATTATAGAGGATAATGTAGTTTACTACAAGGAGTTTGGATCTTTCAAAACAAATCTTAATTTCAATATAAATTATTAATTAAACTGAACTTTTAAAACTTACAAAACCTAACACACACTTTCTGCATAATATTTCTTATGCAGCAAATATGTAGGCAGTTGAGGATCTCCTTGTGCATTAAAAAATCCTCATTTCAATTCTGTTGTATTACACAATCCCTTACAGGTAATTTAATACCAATTATTATTTCAACTAAACTTTAAGGAAAATTTACAAATGCTGTACAACACACACCAATGCTTATACAATTCATCAAAATACACCTGTCAACAATCATGATTGCCATTATCATTGCTGGAGTTTACTTTCCAAGACCCTGAAGTACTGGAAACAAACAAGACCATCTCTAGTTTGAAATACCACAGGTGAGAGGTTGCTGGAATAGATAGGGCTTGGGCTGGGGTGGGTTGATTACAATTTAATGGCCGGTGGTCTTGTTTTCTTTATCAGGCGAGAATGGAGGTAGGGTTCAGTGGGTTACCATCAGACTCCAGGGATTTGTATGACGAATAACAACAGACATTTCTGTAGTGGAAAGATAAACCATTATATTTTTTGTCTGACCATTATGATCAAGGCACAGTTGGTATAATAACTACTGTATTATAAGACTATACACTTGTCTCTGATTATAAACTTGAGTTTTTAGGATCACTCCCATTCTTTTTACAGGCAAGTGAAAAAACTATTAGCTGAGGGTATGGGCAGCGAGTCCTTTGCATCACAAGGAAATTATGGCCGCTACGTAGTTACTAGTGTAGAGCGAGATGCTTACAAGGGAGAACTTCTCATGCAGCTTACCTCTCTTCAGGACAAGAGTATGAAATCTTGCACACTTAGTGGATTTTGGTAAGTAACCTACATCATTTAGTACATAATACAAATGCATGCATGAATGAAGAGTATTATTCTGAACAGAGAATGGGTAAAAACTGTCTACATACACACTTGTATGTGTGTGCATGTGTGTTTTTGTTTGTTTGTTTGACTGGCCAAAGTTTATATGGGCAAATTTTGAAGACTAATTTACATATTGTTTCATCCCTGGAAAATGTTAGCAGTGTTAATAGTAAGTACATGTAATTGGTCACTCTTCAGATTAATCAGATCATATTTAGTAGTGCCACCCGTGAGTCAAAGTGAAAATAAAAGAATACACAATGTTATTTTTATTGCAAATTATTCTCAGGCGAGATATGTTTAGAAACTGTCATGTAACATTTTCACCGAGGAGGTTACTGAGATTTCTTTATCTTCATAAAGCTTAAGTCGTTTAACATTCTTCGGTTTGGGGCCTGGCTTGTTACTCATGTCACTTCACTTGACTGCACCACATGAGTCATAGCAAGCTTGTTATTTGAGATAAAAAGGTGGGGTTTGTTGCATAAGCATTGTAAATAAATTATCTACAAACAATTTTATAAGGAATCACGATAAAGTAAATAATTCTAAACTTAAGTGCCCTGGTTTTTTCACTGATCAGTTGTCTAAATGCAAAAGTAGCCAAGTCGAGCCATCATGTACCGTATTAATTAATTTTAAAATAAAAATTATAAATTAAAATGTTATAAGACAACAGTTTAGTAGTACTCTTGTGTGTGCTATGTAAATGCCTTGTCATGTCTCCTCACCTCTCGCCTTGTTAATTGATACATGGTGGCTCGATTTGACTACTTTTGCACCTAGACAGCTGATCAGTGAATAAACCAAGGCATTTGGAGATGCATTACACACTACAATAATATTGATTAAGTTCTAATAAATATGCTACAGATCATGTGGTAAACACAAACCCTCTTGAACAGAGACAGTAATGGTGCTTGAGAGATGGCAACATTGTTCGGGAGAGCAAGAACAATTAGCTGTTACCACTCTGTAAACAAGAGAAGAATGTACTATGGCCAGTAGCTCATATGGGATTGAGTGTGGGATTTTTTTGGGGGAAATTATTTATTTTCTGATATTTTATTAACCCAGCACCAAATGAACCTAAATAATATAGAAATTATGAATGAAATTGCATGCTGTCGTTATAAAGGGAACGAGGCTGCTGAGTGGGAGGTGGGGGAGTTGTTCTCTCCACCCTCTTCCTTTACCACCTGCCTCCTTCTCTGCCACCTGCTACCTCCTCTCCACTGCAATTCACCCAAATGTAGTTTTTTTTTACATTATTTTAATATAATTCATATTCTATTCCTATAATTCATTCATCTTGATCTATTTCATAATACAGTATATTCCTATACAAGCAGTCCCTGACTTACGACATGGATACGTTCCTGGACCCTGATCCTAAGTCAGTTTGTTTGTAAGTCAGAACAGTGTTAATTTCATAGTCGAGGACAACCGTGCCCTTATAAACAAAAATAATATCCCATACATAACAGATAATGTAAATACTGTAAATAAAGTGATGGACAGTGCCCCAATCCTTAGAGTGTGCCCCATTTGCTCACAACGCTTGTGACTGACATCTACATTACTCACAAGTTTTTGTGACTCTTACTTGGTGGCTGGTGTTACGTGAGGCCCCTGGGAAATATGGTGGTGGATGAGCCGGAGAGTTAAGACGAGGAGCCCCCTCGGCAGGCTGGGATAATGACGAGAGGCAGACAGGCTGCCGAGGGTGATTCTAGTAAACATGGCCGGGACTAGAGAAAGACGAGTTAGGGATTGGTCATTGGTTGGTATGGAGAGTGTACAAGAGGTGGGTAAGTCAGGGATGTGAGTTGGATTGTAGGTAAGGCAGCATGATAGACAGAGCTAGACGTTGAGAATGGTTCTATGGTGATTTCCTCACTCATATGGACTGGTGCATTTGTCAAAGGGTTCGCCTGCCTGCTGACAAGAAGGTCGTATTTGCGGAATGAATTGATCTTTGCAGCGTCCAGATCTGCAGACATGAGGGTGCTTGAGAGTGAGTCGGGTATTTCTTTTGACACTAATCATCTGGTAGAATGGGCTAGGCAAATGGGGTGCATGAAAGCTCAGTATGGTTTTGCTGTTACCAAAGTGGATTGGAATAAAAATCTCTGGGATAGCTGAGATTTGCTGGGTTGAGGTTGAGAGTTGGATAGGACAGACTGGAATAGTTAATAGAGCTGGACTTATCTGGGGGAGTTGCATTCCCATCTTCTTAGCACACGAGGACAGTGCTGTCTCTTGTTTAGGGGGGTCAGTGGTCATGTTCTGAAATTCTGGCATTAAAAGTACAGGTCCACAATCCCTTATTCGCATTTCCGAAATCCAAAAAGCTCTGAAAACCGAAAAAATTTTCGTGGAGAATCACTCGTGTGCACGACATACCCAGAGTGACGCCGAAAATGACCCAAAGTGGACGAAGCTTGACCTACGCAGGTGTGAGGCGTCAGTTGTGTCTCAGCAGAATATAACTTGCATTGCTGAAATCCTTGCAAGACAGCGAATAATTTGAATATAAACATCACATATTTTGCACAAGAGTTAAAAATGTTAGTCCTTTAGTGTAGTACATTTAAGTACAAGTTTTTTAACATGTATTTTTGGGTAGATATATGTAACTTTCTTCATTTATTTGTACTCATTTACATGCACACACCATCCTAAATACATATTGTGAAAAAAAGCAATAGAAATAATTGTCCTAAGGGCAAACCCGTACTGTACTCAAATGTACTGAATCAGCTCCTCCCCGACTTACGACCTACTCGACTTACGACCACCCACACTTACGACCTGCCTCAGTCGTACCAAAATTTTGTCAAATTACGTATTTTCGAGTCCCAACGTCAGTACACAGACAAAATTTTCGTTTGTAATTCACTTTAAAATGGCTGGCAAGCTTAAAAGTGAGAGTTTTGTGGTGCTGAGAAGAAAAAGAGACACCCATTTTAGATTTTCTATGTATTAATTAAGCATTTTCGACTTAAGACCTGGGTTTTGGTCCCTAACCCCGTCGTAATTCGGGGAGGAGCTGTAATTACTATTTTTTTTTTTATGTTTAGTGCAAACTATAGGATGTTTATATTCAAATTAATCACTATCTTACAGGAATTCCAGCAATGTAAGTTATATTCTCCCAAGTCAATTCATTGACATTTTATTAGTAAAAAATTTAAACTCCCTCTATATGACTGAAAACTACACACTGGGTAATCTCCCTCTGTCTGGTCAATACCTCTCCCCACCCTCTCCCCTCCTCCCGCTGCCTGGCTGTCAACACATCACCTCCCCCTTCCCAGCCCGGGTGAAGGTAGTTTTAGGCTTAAAGTTTTTTCTTATAAAATATCACAGACTAAACTTAGCAGAATATAACTTGCATTGCTGGAATCCTTGCAAGGTAGCGAGTAATTTGAACGTAGAAATTACACACCTCAAATTAAGTGTTAAAATATTTTATTGTTTTTTATTTATTACTGTGCAGTACACTGTCCAGTTCTGTATTTTTTTTATATTTAATGTTTTGTTTATTCTATTACTGGTATACAGTACTTTGTATGTACCTTTTAATTCATATTCATAAGGTTCGTTGCAGGAATATTAATGTGTGTGCTTACGGGGTGCTGCCACAGACTCCGCTAGGGTGTTACCATAATACAGGTATATGGTACAGTACAGTACCGTACTACCGTTCTGAAATCCTAAAAATTTTGAATTCCGAAACACATCTGGCCCAAAGGGTTTCGGTTAAGGGATTGTGGACCTGTGTATGGTGCCTTGTGCCAAGCCTCTGGCAGCCACATGGATGGCCCAACACCCCCAACTAATGTTGGTCAGGTGCAACCCGTGGCAGAAAATGGAACTACCTTGACCAACTGTTTTCCCATGAGGGGCGATCATGATATTTTCATAAGTTAATTTATACACTGTTGAGGAAGTTACAAGCCCTTTAGAATATAAACAGAAATAACATGAAATAATTTTCCACCAAGAAGATGTAACCTATTGGCCATGGAGAATAATTAAAATATTATCAGCTTGACATCATGTGCATTTAATATTATTTAAAATATTACTAGCAAATCATGGGGAAATTAACGTCCAGATTAATGACAATAAATATCAGGGGCGAATCCGGGGGGAGGGGGGGGGGGGTCCTGGGTCCGGACCCTAGACCCCCCTTTTCATAGAGAAAATTCCAATACTTTTTCTTTAATGTACTACAAGTTGTACCTCTCTAGTCCGGCAACCTCGGGACCTGACCGGTGCCGGACCCTGGAAATTTCCGGACCATGGAAATTCACCCTTTTCCTGGATAGATAGTGACTTGGCTTGGAAGCACTAGCACCACTTTCTCTGTTTCATGGTCTCTTTGAAGACATATTGAAGGGTTAAATGTCGTACAGTAGCTTCTCAAATTTCGTGCGTTTTTAATTCGACGTTTTCTATTTGAACACACAAAAAAAAAACACATTTAAATATTTTGACGGCGGAAACTCGAATTTCGACGGGTTTGAACGGCCCACCAACGTTCAGACAACGGGCACAATCGTGTAAACAGCGTCATTTCTCTTATGTACAAAAGATTCATTATTGTTTATTACTGAAAGTCTTTTTGATTGAATTAATGTTTGTGTGTGCAAAATGAGCAATACAATTCATTAATAATACGTAGAACATTAAAACACGAAGAAAGGAGACAGCATTGTTTTCGTTGATTACAAAACCAGTGACTGACTGGTTCTACATATAAAATTGAAGAAAATAAGACCTTGGTTGTAGCTGTAGTAAAATTAATATGGTTGTTTTAAGTAATGTTATTTAATGTTAATAAATGGAACAATAGAAGTAGCTAACGATAATGGTAAAGAAAGAAGAGAGATCGCGTATGTAAGTGCGCACACGTGAAAACATATCGTCATTACTTTACA